GTACTCATGGACATCGCTAAGGCTTTTGACACCGTGAGCCACCAGCACATTCTACATGGTCTGCAGCAAAGGGAAGTGGACTCCCATGTCATCAGCTTGGTGCGTAATACAGATGAGAACATATACCATCACATTAAAACCTCTTCAGAAAATTGACACACCAAAGAAGTATATACCATCCCTAGACTAATGTACTTGGCAGGCCACATGGATGCAAAAGCAGGGCTCCTTGAATCCCCTGACCTACAGACTCAATCAACTGCCAAGGAATGGCTACACTTAACACCATGCATACGTGATGCCATCCTGCACTCCAGCATAAAGGATGGAGGTTTGGGTATCACAAAGTTGATGGGACTCAATCCAAGTACACAGGCCTGAACATTACATGGACTTGCCCAGTGTTCAGATGATGCCTTAAGATGGTTCCTGAAAGAAGAATGCTTAGGTCAAGTATATAGGAAATTATGGATGAGAGCTGGAGGAGATCAAGAGAAGATCCTGTCAATATGGATGCCTAAACCTAGATAGAACTGCTGGAATGGTGCTGGTGATGACACAACATCAGAGTGGGAAGCAGCTACTTCAAAAACTCAGTATCCATGACATGTAACTGGAAGAAACAGGAATTTAATAAATGGAAACAGCTGGTATCCCAAGGCTGTGCTATTACAAACTTTGAGAAGGATAACATCAGAAATTTCTGGATCTTGAGATACAGAGGCACACCTCACAGAAAACTAATAACAGCATTGCAGCTGAGGGCCAATGTCTACACCACAAGAGAATTCCTGGCAAGAGGAAGACAAGATCAATGTGTCAAAAGCAGCAGACACTGCAAGGCTGAAAATGAAACATGCTCCCCCGTCATCAGAAACTGTCCAATAACACAAAATGCCAGGATTAAAAGACACAACTACATTTGTGATATGTTAATCAACAAAGCTAAAAAAGACAGTGTTTCAAGAGCCACATGTGAGGGATGACAATGGCAAACTACATCGAGATCAGATCTTTGTAAGAGAAAGACAGGCATTCTGGTGGATGTGACAATTAGATATGAACACACTGACACATCTTTACAAAAAGCTGTAACTGAAAAGATGAGTTTTGCATGACCTGGTTTTTGGTAACGGGGGGCCTCAAAGATGGCTCCTGTAGGAAGCTGCTGAAAGCCTCCACCATGTCCAGCAGAGATAATCCTTGATGGCTCTGAGGAGGGACATGCTGCTGGCCAAAACTGGGCCAGTGAGAGAGGTTGGTAACGTGACGACATATTTAAGAGGGAAATCAAAACAAAGTCACAGGTTTTTGCACCTAGTTAAAAAAGAGAAGGAGGTAAGAACCTGTGAGGGAAAACAAAGTCAGTGGAGAAGGAGGGGGAGGTGGTGCTCCAGGCACCAGAGCCAAGATTCCTCTGTAGTCCTACCAAAAACACTGTCTGCGTGGATTCCATGGCCTGGCACATCAGATCCACAGAAGTATAAAGCTGTAGTAGATAGCAGTGCACAATGTACACTGATGCCACCAAGGCACAAGAGTGCAGAACCTATTAGATCTCTGGAGTGACAGGGGGATGCCAGGAGTTGTCTGTAATAGAGACTGAGGTGACCTTGACAGGGGACAGACGGCAAAAGCACTCCATTGTGACTGGCCCACAGGCCCCATGTATCCTTGGCATCGACTACCTCAGGAGAGGGTATTTCAAGAATTCAAAAGGGTATTGATGGACTTTTGGTGTCGCTACAGTGAATACAGAGATCAAACAGTTATCCACCCTGCCTGGCCTCTCAGAGGATCCCTTCATTGTAGGATTGCTGCAGGTGCAAGACCTCTAAGTACCAATTGCTACCAGGACAGTACACTGGTGGCAGTATCACACAAAACAAGACTCTCTAACTCCTATCCAAGAACTAACTCAACGACTGGAGAGCCAAGGAATAATCAGCAGAACCCGCTCACCCTTCAACAGCCCCATTATGGCCAGTGCAGTGTTACAGTACAAGCTGGCTTGTACTGGGCAATTAATTCAGCTATAAGTAAAAAAAACCAGCTTGGTTCCATAAACAAGTCCTTGGCTGAGCTATGATCCTCCACTGAGGAAGATCAAAACAATGGACGGGTAGATAAGGCCACTAAAATTGGAATAGCTGAGATGGACCTAGATTGGGAAAGAAAGGGTGAGCTATTTACAGCCCAATGGGCCCACAAAACATCAGGGCATCTTGGAAGGGATGCAACACATAGATGGGGTTTTGATCAAGGGGTGGACGTGACCATGGAGTCCATCAGCGTGAAACAATGCGCTGCCATCAAGCATGCCACACGAGTGAAGCATCTTTGGAGTGGAGGGCAGTGGCTGGGTTTCCAGTATGGTGAAGCTTGGCAAACTGATTACATTGGGCCATTGCCACCAACACACCAAGGCAAGAGTTATATCCTCACCATGACAGAGGTCACAACAGGCTGGCTGGAAACATACCCAGTAAACCATGCCACTGCCCAGAACAATTTCAGGTCCTGAAAGACACATTTTGTGGTGACATGGAACCCCAGCCAGAATTGAGTCACAAAGTAGGACTCATTTTCACAATAATCTTGTAAACTCCTGGGCAAAGAGGCATGGCTCTAAGTGGATATATCACATTCCCTACCATCCACAGGCCTCTGGAAAGATTTAAAAGATAAAATGGGCTGCTAAAAACTATGTTTAGGGCATTAGGTAATGAGATGTGGAAGCACTGGGATGGAAATTTGGCAGAAGCCACTTGGCTAGTCAATACTAGGGGATCTGCTTATTGCCCTGGTCTCACCTAAACCAAGCCCTTAGACACTGTGGAAGGAGACAAGGTTCCTGCATTACACAGGAAAAAAGTGGCTGGGGAAGTCACTGTGGATTTCTTCCCGCATGGGAAAAGGCAAACCCATTTGTGGGATTGTTTTTGCCCAAGGACCCGGGTGTACTTGGTGGGTGATTTGGGAGGATGGGGAGACCTGTGTATACCTCAAGGAGATTTAACCTTGGGGTAAGAATAACCTATGGCATAAGCTGTATGTTACAGGAGGTAAAGTAGCAGGGGGGACACGAACTAACAAAGAATGAATTTTGGCAAGGAGCGAGAAAAAGGCGATGATGAACAGGGACGATGCCAGTGCCCAACCACCAGGTGTACTATTTCTCCTGCCCTGACCCCACACCCTGCTGGGATCGAGAGCGCCTGGAGGCGCTGAAAGGACGGGCAATAGTAGTTAATAAAATGTATGTCTGGTATAGAGAAGGCTTAAGGATTCTAGTAATGAGAGTATATAGACTATATGGAATCCAAGCATGACACAAATTTTACGGAATTGGGGTGGAGATTGTATCGGGTCTGACTGAGCTAAAGTTCACAGCCCTTACAGTGCTGTGCTTTGCACTGGTGTGGGTAACAGACCAGTGTTTTGGCTAATGCCGAGCAGCGCTGCCCCTCTGACATTCCTTCCCCCATCAAAGGGGATGGGAGTGGGCAAGATCCTGGGAGGGGACACAACCAGTCCAGCTGATCCAAGTTAGCCAAAAGGATATTCCATACCACATGACATCAGCTCAGGAGAGAGAGCTCCTAAGCTAAGGGAGAGAGAAGGAAGGGGGGTGCTTGTGAGTTTTCAATGTTTGCTGTCCACAGGAACTCTCATGCGTGCTGAATGCCTGCTTCCCAGAAAGTGTCCCAACATCGCCGCTGATGGGAAGTAATGACTGACTTTTTACTCTCTTTAACTGCTGCACTTGCAAATCTCTGCTTATTTCTTTCTTTTACCGTAATAAAACTGCCTCATCTCACTCTGCTGGTTGTGCTCCATCTTATTCTCTGCCCTGTCCCACTGGGAAAAGGAGTGATAGAGCAACCGAGTGCACACTTGGCACCCAGTCAGGGTCAACCCACTACAGTCAGGAAATATCAACATCCTCATAAACAAACTCAGGACGTCAGCAATGCAGGAAGTATCAGGTTTACAGACTTTCCCACTGGACTTTCCCAAGTGGTTCTATGGAAACAATGAGCTCCTACAGGCCCTAGGTCTCTCCAAAACAAGGCAGGGGAAGACTGCCCTGGCCCTGGCCTCCAGAGCACTCTTTACCTCAGATGATATTGTTCAGATGTTTGGAAGCAAGGCTGGCTCAGCTGCGTGGAGTTATTGTTTATGCAAATTAAAAAAAAAAAAAAAAAAAAAAAGTTTAAAGGCTGGATGGTACATAAGGACAGTGGGAATGACACAATTCTTTCAAGGATGTAGCATTGCGTTTCACCCACATTTGAGACTAAATTCTACTGATTTGGACCAAGGTGGATGAGCCACCTACACATAACCCAGAAAAAGAACATATATAAAAATAAATGCTCAATAAATAGGCAAATGCCTCATCATCTAATTAGTAATTTGACTGAATGAATGAATGAACAAGATTCCCACAGTCCCTACCTTCTATCCAGTGAAACCACAGCCAAGGGAATGGACTTGGCAGAATCAGCAGGGGAAGAAGACCCTGTTGAGCATGGTGCACTCTCAACAGTCTGGGATGACCCCCTGCTGGCGTTCCAGCTGCCAGTGAAATAGCACTACTCTGATTGTTTTGGTGAGCAGACCTGGCCTCCCGGGTAGAGGAGGGAAGGCCTCCCATGCTGGCAGCAGGCAGACCATGTCTGAGACCCCAGTGGGTAGACCTGGCCTTCCGTGACCAGACTTGGCAGGCTGGGGACACAGGGTACACCTGGTCCCCTGTTCCAGTGGGGCAACGTGGCCTCCTGTCCCAGCGGAGGGCAGACCTGCTTCCTGGGACAGAACTTGGCCAGTGGGGACACCAGTGTTTGCCAGGCCTGCGTTCCCGTGCCGTCCCTGCTGACTCAGTGCCTGAGCAGCTCCCAGCGAGCCCTGCCACATGTTCCTCCCCCCAGCCTCCCCTCCCTGAACCACCACCACCCCACTCCAGTCCCTGCTGACATCAGAGTTGTCTCCAGCCTGCTCAGAAGTAGAGAGATCACAACCAGGCACAGGGCATCCGCGCTGACATCCCAGAGCTCTTTCATTTTCCAAAAACCTGCGAGGTCACAGGCAGTCACTGGTGTCCATGAGGACAACAGAGGTGTCTCGACATGCTAAGGAGCCCATTTGGCACAGGCACTCACTGAGCTTCTATGGTGACATCCCAGAGGTCTCTGAGTTCCTAAAGAACACTGAGGTCATGGCAATCCCAGGGGCTCCATGGGGACATCCCAGGAGTCCCGTTTGCCAAACTGCACTGACCTCACAGTCTGTCACAGGGTCTCAGTGGCAACATCCCAAGTGTCTCCAGGCTGCTAAGCAGCTGTAATGTCACAGGCACTCACAGACTCTAGGGTGACATTCCGAGGTGTTCAAGGCTGCAAAAGAACCATGAGGTCACACGCTCTTAGGGGAACTCCACAGGGACATCCCAGGCAGCTCCAGGCTGCTAAGAAGTGCTTTGTCACAGCCACTCAGAGGGGCTCCATCATGACAAGCCAGTGGCTGCTGTGCTTCTAAAGAGCAGTGAGGTCACAGGCAACGACAGCAGCTCTGTGCTGACATCCCCTGCACTTCTACGCTGATAAAGAACTCAGATGTCACCAGCACTGACAATGGCTCCATGGCTCCCAGGTTTCTGTAAACTGCTAAAGAGCACTCAGCTCAAGGGCCCTCCCAAGGGCCTCCATCCTCACATCCCACAGGGATCCAGGTTTCTAAAGAGCCCTGAGCTCACCTGCACTCACAGGGCTTCCATGGTGACATCGCGGGGCTCTCTGGGCCTTCTAGGGAGCCAGCAGGTCACTGGCACTGACAGGCGCGCCATGCTCACATCCTACAAGACTCTGGGCTGCTAAAGAGAAGGCAGGAGCAGTCACAGGAGCTCCATGGTGACATCCCAAGGCTCTTCAGTCTTCCTCCTCTCTCAGTCACTGCCCCTCACCACGCCCCACACCTCCCGGGGAGGGAAGGAGGGAGGCTTCAGGAGCCGCCGGGCTTCCTGACCCTGCCCCGTCCCCGGACAGGCAGCAGCGTGAGATCTCTGAGTCCGGGCCTTGGGTCTCCAAGCCCGTCATGCCCCTGCCCCGTCTCCCTCCTTCATTTCTGCACCGCTCCCTGGCCCCGCTGCGCTCCTGCTCGGCCCCGCCGCGGGCTGAAGGAGAAGCGGGGGAGCCGTGGGACAAACGCCATAAAACAAGACTCCGAGCGAGCCACCCAGCAATGTCCTTCGCCAAGAGACACGGCGCAGCCCCCGCAGCCCTTGCCCGGCCTGGTCCGTGTCCGGCGCCACTGCCCGCCCCACACGCTCGCTGCCCCGCGCAACCTCCTCCTCTCTGGCCGCCGCCAGCCGCGCCTGAGGGCCCGGGCGGCGGCAGCGGGAAAAGCGTTTCCCGTGCTGCTCCGCGCCACCGCCCCGCCCGAGCGGGGCCGGCCCTGAGAGGCGGCGCGGGGAGCGAGGCGAAAACAGACGGGAAAAGAGAAATCCGAAAGGAGAATGCGGCGTGGGGGCGGTGGGAAAGGGAAACCAGCAATTACCGCACTCCCTCTATGTTATGAATAAAAAGATACCTATT